AGTAATTCTATATATCACTTAATATTAAACAAATGGGAAATTTTAATAATCACATTACAAATTTTGATCCCTGAAATCCTTGGTAACACCAATGTTCACTTTGTCTGGTTTTGTTACAGTATGCCCCATATTATATAATAAGAATTAAAAAATTTTTTTGAAAAATATATATATTAATTATATATAATGATTTTTTTAATTCAATATTTTTTGTAATTATTAATAGTAAATTAATGTTAACATAAATTTGGAAGTAAAGGGAAAAAAATTACAAGTCGTAAAATCATAAATTTTCAATAAAGAGAGTGTATAATTTTTTTTTTTTTTTTTTAAAGATGGTTATAAAAAAGACCATTTTAGGACTGATAACATATCAATCTAGTGTAACAATTTCACTATAGAAATGGTCCAAGACCGGACCAAGACGGACCGGTTTAAACTTCAGTCCCTATTTGAAAAAAGACCATTTTAGGACCATTTTCATGTGATAAAGACTGCAAGACTACCAGTTGGTCTTTTTTGAGAAAAGACTAGTCCAGTCCAAGGACAGACCATCAGTCCGCCGGTCTTTTGGGACTGTTTAACATCCCTACACATTTCAAACATGAAAGGTTGACGACTTTATTTAATGCTAATACTGTAATATTAATTTCAATTTCTAGCAAAAATTTGCTGATTTTCAAGATGATATAATTGCATGGTTTTATTTGAATTTCATGGTATTGATTATGGTATTCTAGTTCCTTCACATCTCATAAACAACCTGGATGAATTATTAAAAAAAAATATCTGGTAATATTGATGACTTAATAAGAAAATTAATGAAATATATTTATAGGAATAGAAATGGTTATATTGATTATATATAAAGATTTTGTGTCACCATTTCCTGAATCATCTATCACACCAATATCTGACAATAATAATCTTGACATAAACAATGACATTATAAATGAATCAGAATTATATAATGAAAATTCAGCTCTTGAAACAGATGATATATCGACAGTAAGCAAGGATGATCTTACAATAAACCATGATGACAATCAAAATGAATCAGAACTAGGGTTTGTATTCACAGATACTGTAAGGAGGTCACACACCATTAAAATCAATTTTTTAATAGCATCTAACCCCTTAACAGTATTCATGGTATCTGTGAATACAAACTCTAATTGGAACCAGAAGAAAATACAGAACCCAATATGAATAATGGCAATGATCAATTGATGCATGAAGAATCGATTGATGTAGAAATAAAGATAGTGCTAATGTTAACAATAATATTAGAAATTCAAAGGAGGAAAGGTTTTAACAAACTTTTCTGTTTATTAATATATTAATGTATTAATTTACCTTTATTTTTGTCAACTTATACATTCATTTTTTAAAAATCATACAGAAGAATTACAACCTTCGGGCCCGAAAGCGAACCAACTATAATGTTGGCACATTGCACAAAAAACGCCGCCGTTACCAAAATGTAAGAATAACCAAAATGTTAATAATATACATAACATTTTGTTTAATTTTTTTACTTATACTTACAGACATCATTGTCATCATCATCATTGTCACCACCATCATTGCCATCACCATCGTCACCACCATCACTGCCACTATTTAATGATGACAAGGTATGTGTATATAGTGTAAAATATAATTATACTTTAAGATAAAATATTAGTGTTTTTTACCTTTCATATATAGGTGGAGTGTACAAATATGTGCCCAGCACATTGTCGTTAGATTCGAATTAATTTCATCAAAAAAAAATTTATTTTTATTGCTTAATTTTAAATAGTTATCGTCACAACAACTAATTTGTCATTATCATTATCATTATAATTAATCAGTAATTAATTAACCATTTAATTGGACATTATAAAATTGTATTCATTAACATCAAGCTTGTTTAACAAGCTATCATTGCTATTTAATTTAGATATCTCATCATTGTGAATATTTGAATTTGATTTATGCTGTGCAAATTGTTTAATTAATTAACTAGCTAGCAAGGACTAATAAATTTGATTTTCAAATATTTTTTTTCTTTTAAATGTATATTATTTCGTTATCATTTTATTATAACTGTAATTTACATCAGGAACATCAAAAGACAAGTGTTTATTAAAATACATACTAAATTAACAAGTTAACAAGTTTCGAATTAATGAGTCACTATTTTTTATTTTTTATTTTTTTAGGTTTAAAATTTTACATACGAATTAATAAATAAAAAACCCAATTTTACTAAAAGTAGCGACTTGACGTCGTGCACAATCTCCATGAAGCCTCTTTTCTTGTAAAAAAGAGAATTAAGATGAAGCACCCCAATTATTGATCATGTAAGATATCTGCCAAGAAACGTTGAAAAA